GTTACATGTACATGAATTTTAAAACAGTAGAATAAATTAAATAGAGAAAAGGCAAAAGTTTTAAAGTTTGGATATATATCCCCTTACTAGACTCTTAATGTTTTTGGGCCCTACCCTTCCGCATGAAAAAACTCCAGACCATGTGCTGCAGGTGTAGGATTTTAGAGATTTACCTGTGTTTCTTTTATTTGGTTGCATATTTCTGTCTGTAAGGGGACTGCACCCTCAACTTCTTTAATGTGAAGTCCTATATATGGGCTCAAGGATGCTGCGTGCCAAATTTTGTCAACTTTGGTAATTGATACTGAAGAAAGTTTTTAAAGGCTCACATTTTTTCTACTTTGGGGCCCTACTCGCTGCTGTTGGCCAGCTGAGCTAAAAACTGCTGAGAACTGGGTAATACATGTCCTATGGACCACTTATTTAACATTTACACTAAAATATATGCATGAGGTGGAGAATTACAGCGACACATTTGTAAATGATAACCTATTAAACATTTGGAATTTTTTAACCTAGGGACCATCAGATCCTGTTATAAGTTCCTGGTACGCCACCACCAGCAACAGTTGCCCAGCTTACTGCAGGAGTGTCAAACAGAAGGTAAGACAAGCTTAATAGTCCCACACTAGAATTATCAAAGGAAACAGTTGGTTTTCGCCCCATCTGTCATTTTGTTCTTGCTGTATCTCATATACATACTACATCTATATGCATGTCACCTACTGAAATTGTTTAAGGAATAATGGCTCTTTGTTCACAGTCATAACTTTGCTTGGGGCATATTTCATGTATGTATTTGGTTTTGTGCTTGCCTAGTACATAGAGATATGGCCCTTCATTTGTTTTTGATCCAAAAATTGTGCAGAGGTAGGGGATTAGAGATTGCTCAGAATGCTTTGCCATGTTATAAATAACTGTCACAAAAAACTTGATATTTGTAACACAGAAGTAACATGTAGTTATTGGATATTGTTATGCCTCTCTGTCATCATAGAGGATGTAACTGATCATTTTCTGGGTTTTTTGCCTAAGTGCATATGTCAGTTTCAGTAAGATGTCAATAAATACATTTCTCTCATTTCCCTGTT